GAAGGGAAGGGAAGGGAAGGGAAGGGAAGGGAAGGGAAGGGAAGGGAAGGGAAGGGAAGGGAAGGGAAGGGAGATTTTTGCCCTTCCCTTGCTGCATGTGAGAACTCTTGTTTAACATCAGAGGGTTGAGTGTTTGGAGAGCTGTCAGAGGACTCATCCTGGGCAGTGGCTGGCACAGTACTGCCCACAGTGCTGCTGGCCCAGAGTTTTCCCTGCAGGATGATTGGGAGCTGTCCCCACCACACCGAACCATGGATCAGGTGAGGGGCATGCCAGGCACAAACCCACTGGAAATGAGGTTCCATTCTGCAGCTAAAAGCGTGCATGTGCAAATGCACCCTGCTAGTGAATGTGTCCCTGCCTCCCCTTCACTTTCCTCTTGCCAGAGCTGCTCCAGGTGCAACCTTTACACGTGCCCAGAGGTGCTCAGCTTTTGGACCCTCTTGTGCCCTTCCACTCCAGTTTCTGTACACACAGTAGCAATCACAGCAGAGTTTGACAAGTAATAGGTAGAGATGTGGACTAAAGGCCTGTCCTTTTATCTTCCAGGTAAGATTCATAATCTGTGCTTTTACCATGGGAAAATTTAGGATCTTGAACAGGCTGATACTATCCCCTCTGAGAAGGAATTAATAGAAAAGTATGGGATATATAAAAAAAGAACATTTGTACTACTGTCACTGCAAGTGAAGAAAGAAATTACCATATTCTAAAGCACTTAGGAAAAGGGACACATTTTATATTTCACATCACTTAATAGCTAGTGAGAGGAGAAATTAAAGGGACTCATGTAAGTAACTCAGTGGAGAAGTTAGGGGTAGAGAAACTCTTTAGCCTGGGGTACTTATTTCAAACAGAAGGACCTCAGAAAACACAGAAGTAGGGGAAAGAGTAGTTGCATGTTAAGCACAGCAAAATATCTGAAAGTGAGACCAAAGGTGAGGAAACTGATGAAACTTCATGCCTGAAAAACAAAGAGTCAGCAGGAACTAAAATGCCCTTAGAACCTTTCTGACTGTAAGGGAGAAGAGGGTGACAAGCTGAGAGTGGAAATCAAAAGGAAAGTTCAGGAAGAGAAAATTATTAATATTACAATATTTCTTTATCTACACTAACTCTGATTCATTCAGGGCAATGGTAGCAGGACACTTGCAGCACTGCCTTTGCTCTCACAGTGTGCCACTGAGCTCTGGGCAACTCAGATATGGGGACAGAAGTCACACAAGGTGAGAAGTATTCAAACAAAATTTCTCCCGGAAGGTTTTAGACATGACAAATTAAAGGTCTGCATGAAAAGTCATGGAGAAAGGGAACAGAACAGAAGGATTTTAAGCCAATGTTTCATTTCCTCTATAAAGCCCACCTGTGTTCAGAGGGTTGGAACAAAGCCTATATGCAACACTGACATTTATTAATTTACCATGCAAGAGTTGTTTGGAAGTGGCTTTTTGTGCACATCATGCTTTGGTCCTCTGTGGGTTGTGAGCAGGCTCAGGAAGGTGGGAAGCACCATTCACCCTCTGAGTCAGAAAAGCCTCAGGGGGAACAGACCAACTAACAGGGCACCAGTGAGCTGGGAAACACAGAGATCAGAGGAGGAGAAACTAATTCAGCAAATCCGTAGCACAGGGATAGTGCTCTTGGATGCAGCAAGTTCTGGACAGAAGTTGTGCAGGTGAAAACAGCACAAGAGGATTCTGATTCATTTCTGCTTAGAGGCTTCTTCCAGTAAACGGGAAAGATAATTAATTGCAGGAAGCCTGGAGGTAAACAGCAAAGTGCTGGTCTGTGCTGGGATTGCAGCCCCATAAACCACATGGAAGAACTGTGAAGCTGAAGAGTCAGCTGGCAAAGAGCTCTGCATTCTCCTGGCAACTGAGGACACACTCACTCCTTGAGCCATGGTGCAAGGCTGAACACTGGATGATGGTACTCAAATATTATCTATTAATAAACTTTCATGGTAGTTTTTAACACTAGGAGTCCCATTAGGTAACTATGCATGATTTTCCTTCAGTAGATAGGAAAAGAAAGCACCGAATAACTGGCTGATTTACCAGCTAAAACCATAGCACCAGGTGGCAGATCTAGCAACAAAACATTTCTGTGTCATCTGTTGGAGGTTTGAAGGCAGCAGAAAAAGAGAATTTATGTAGAGAACTACTTATAAAAGCAGTTAAGAAATACACTTAGGTAAAGGATACAAATACTGCTTTACTTAAAAAAGGAGAAGCAAGGAAACCATTACCTTCCCGAAGCAGAAGCGCCTGCTCCACTTTGCTGTGGGGCGTGGCAAGATCCAGGGCACATTTGAGGTCAGCATTTCTGCATTTTGGGTTAGCACCATAGTCTGTCAGCAAGACAACGATCTCCACACTGGATTTCCTGGCTGCCGCGTGCAGGGGAGTGTCCAGCCCCTTCCCCACGTTCACATTGGCTCCTGGGGCGAGCAAGGGCTCGTGGTTAGAGCGGGTGGGCAGCAGGGACTGTCTGAACCTGCATCACACAGGCTGGTTTCCACCAGCAGCCTCAATAGATGAAGGGGATGGATGGCACACAGGACCTGCCCCGTCTCTCAAGAGCAGCTGTGCAAACCTCATCAGGTCAAACACCTGCTCTGGCAGAGTGCTCTGCTGAGAACTGAGCAGCCTGACCTTCAACCCAAAACATGTTCAAAGCCTACCATATGTTCTTTAAAGTTGTTAATGGCATAAAATCTAACATGGATTATGTTAATTTAATTACCAGGGGAAAAATAAAATAGAAACCTTTAGGTATTTCATTGTAATGAGTCTGGAAGCACAGCAAGAAAAATGCTTGCCCCAGGCAGGCTGGGCACAGCAGGGCCACACTTTGAGCAGGTATAAGTCAGCTAATGCATACTGACAGCAAAAATTTATGATAGTTCATAGCCTGTATCTGCACCTACAGTGATTATTCTTCCAAGCAGCTTTACTGCTGTCCTCATCATCCACTGAGGAGGAGATGAAGTTAATGGTTCTGATAAATTGCTATGTTAAGCAAGAGTTGATTTTGGTCAGTAATATTAGCCAGAATTTTCTGTGCTTTCTGTTATCATGCTAGAAAACTAAAATTCTGTTTTCACATTCAGATAGTGTCAGGGAGGTGTCTGTAATTAAGAAGGCTTTTCACTTAGGAAATCATAATTTCTTTATCAACACAAGGGAAATATTTAATGGCCTCAAATAAGTCTGACAGAGTCAGGCTCCTAAACAGCTCCTGTGGAAATAACCCATGATGTTTTAAGCATAGAGGCAGCTCAGAGAGACCAGTGGCATTGTCTTACACCACCATGGCTCTCCCCTGGCCCCTTTTCCAGGTGTACCTAGCTCCAAAAGCTTCTTGACACATTCTGCTCTCTGGTACGTGCAGGCCATGTAGAGAGGAGTCCCGTGCTGTGGGTCTTCTTGGTCAATGTCAACCTCATGGGCCAGAAGGGTCTCCATGCACTCCCTGTGACCTGTGGAGGGAAGAGCTGTCACTGAACTGCTGCAGAGCAGAGCACACCCAGATACAACTGTGAGGCACAAGAGCTGTGAAAAAGCCAAGCCTGTTTATCTGCACCGATACGGAAATAATTTTTCACGAAATGCTTCGTGAATGACAAGAGACGCATTTGTCACGCAGTTATTGCTGGCTTCGCTCACGCCCCTCGCACCCGAACGTCACCTCTCTTGACTGCCTCGTGGATGGGCGAGGGCAGGCGGCTCCCCAGCTGCGCCTTGGCCCCGAACTGCAGCAGCACGGAGACACAGGCGGCACTGCCGCTGCAGCAGGCGTTGAGCAGAGGAGTGACCCCATCCACGGTGGCTGCGTTGACCTGCAGTGGGAGACGCACCAGGACAACCCGGTTTGACGGGAGCGCCCTCGCGACGCGCCCCCTGGGCACGCCAGGAGCGCGCCGGAGTCAGACTCTTGCCTTGTTTAGTTTCAGGAATTAATTTATTTACAGCTTTCTGAGTTATATGTTGTGACATAACATACTCCTTCGATGTCTGCTCTCTTTCCCCAGATAGCTCCACAAGGCAGAAACCCTGCCTGCTCTGAATGCTCCTGCTGGAGCTGCTAAGAAATGCAATTTTTTATTCTGTTTTTTTTTTGTTTGTTTTTTTTTTTATGTGAAGCAGCTGAGTATCTTCAACACTGTTTAGTTTGCGCCAGCCTCAAGGTGGAACACCCTCAAATGAAAATGGATTTGCTTTTTAATTGAAAACATTTGCTTTCTGTTTAATACTTTCATCTGAAAATGCATTCCCAGCAAAATAAATTTTCATAGAAACATAATCCCAAACAGAAAAGGAGCCTGAAGAAATTAGTATGCATGTGTGTCTATGCAAGACAGAAATTTGCTTCCCCAACTTCTGATGTAAAGAGCTGGCAAGAGCCACTGTTGCCATTCTCCACTGGGACAGCAGAGCTGTAGATCACAGAATCACAGAGCAGGCTGGGTTGGAAGGGACCATCAGGATCAGGGAGTCCAGCTCCTGGCCTTGGGCAGGACACCCCCAGAATCACACCATATCCCTGTTTATGCTATGTTTAACTATGTAGCAAGCCCTCAAGGCCAATTTATGAAGTAATATGCATGTCTTTAGCTCTGTGGCACACTGGAGAAGAGCAATGGATTATGCAAACACATACCAATTTGTAAAATTTCCACTGCCTCCACCTCCTCCCAGTGTCATCAGGCAGGTGTGGCTGAACTGCTGGAGGCACTGGAGGTCTCTTGACTGTTTTGGTGCTGCTTGATTTCTTGCCATATAAATTTTACGTTAAAATTCAGCTGACATAAAAATATTCTTACATATTTCATCCATTCCTTAATCTTTATTGTGAACATGTATTCTGCCTTAGGCCCAGCTGTGGGAATTATTTTATTATGTGGGCTATTTTATTAGCAGATAAAATGTTTCATTGCTTCAAGCGCACCCATTTTTACTTACGTGAGACTCCCAACCTTCCCACAGAAAACCAGATGTAATTCCAGTGATCACTGCTGAGGGGGGAGGGGGAGGGTAAATGTGTGAGTTATTTTCTTCAAGGTTATTTCACTTAGCATCTTTCATTTGCTTTCCATCAATCATGACTATGTTTTCACAGACAAAGGGAAAACAAAAGAGAATAAAGGGGTGACACAAGGGGGAGACAAATCTATCACCCAGGGAAACAGAACATTGTTACGTTTTTCCACATTTCTGTCTGAGATGTCCACCTGCATCTTGGCCCTGACACACGGACAGCACATCCAACATCCCCACGGATGCGGAGAGCATCCGTTCCCAGGCGCCCATGTCCCCAGTGGCATCCCCAGGACTTACCTGGGCACCGTTCTCCAGCAGCACCTTGGCACAGGCCACGTGGCCACCCAGGCAGGCCTCGTGCAGAGCTGACACACGGTCTGTGGTCACCAGGTTCACGTTGAAACCCTGCAGCCAGGAGCAGGGCGTGAGGGGAAAGCCCTGCCCCGAGCTCAGCTCCTGCAGGGCTGCTGGGTGCCCGTGGCAGGGGGAGCCATGGCAGAGCTGCGTGTCCAGGGAAAGGGCTCAGCTCGGATTGGTGCTGTTCAGGGACTCCTTGTCCCCACAAGCCACAACTGGTGATAAAACTAGAGTTAAAGAGGGAGGAATTGCAAGCTATGCCTTGGATTTCTAGCTCTTTACAATGCATTGTTAATTGCAGGAAGGGCATCACACTTCTTTAACTTATAAGGTTTACATTCCCTTCCCTATTAAGTCCTGCACCAGGAGCTACAGCTGGAGGGATTCACCTCATCTCCCTGAATGAGGATGCTTCTGGCATCTGCAGGTATCTGCAGCTCAGCTGGAGCTGGCATCTCCTTCAGTGGGGAAAAACAGGATTCCCTAGGATATGCTTCATCCCATGCTAAAGCCACTATTTCCAGTAGGGCAGACAAATTCTATCCTAAAAGTTCTTTCATTCACTGCATGGGGTGCCCAGGTGTGTTTCACTCAGAGGTAATAAGTACCTGGTAAATCTATAAGAGAGATGAATCAAATACCACCCACAAATCCCAGAGTTCCTCTTAACTGACCATCCAGGAAATGTTTTATGCTGGAAGAAAGAACAGTGATTTACAAATGCCTTATTTCAGCTTTTTCCCTAATATACAGTTGCCATATCTATTCCTGTACAAAGACAAACCAGGCCTGTTCACAAAGGGGAAAGCAGTTGTCATATGTGTTTTCCTCTGAATGCAGCTAAATCTCCTGGTAAGTAGAATTTTACAGCCATGTGTGAGAACAGGCCTGGAAGCAGATTCATTTTCTGCTTGATGCCATATTTTGAAGCACAGTTGGTGTCTGCCTGACGTGCTATAGACAGGGCAGCTCACGAGATGGCAGCAATGCACTTTTTGGTATACAGTACCCAATGCAATGGGCAGAAAGGAGTACCTGGGAGCAACCTCACACGGCGAAAAAGGCAGGAGTCCTGACACCATGAGTATTAAATGTACTATAAAAACTTCACGCCAAATATTACATGACAGAAAAACAATCTTTTTCAGTCATGTGAAAGTATTATTAATGTAGAAGTTGTTGGTAAAATTTCTCATGCATTACAATGGTGCTAGGAGAATAGACAAAAGCTTGAAAAAATAGAATTATCCCATTTTCTAATTGTATGGTTGTTTCATACTTTGTGATCAGCATATTCCTTGAAGATTAATTCCTTCTAGATGTTCCTAATAAGTAGACCTATTCTCAATCATTATTCATATATACATGTATATATATATACATTTAACAAATAAAACTCAGTCATGTGAAGTAAAAAAATAAGCACTGTTATCTTGGGAAAAACAGCAATTCCTTCCATTACAAAATGAAGAATAAGTTGTAGATCTTACAGTGGCTGTTTGCCAAACATCACTAATGATAAACCTTGTTTTCAACGTACATGAAAAATCAAACTCGTTTTTCAGGCATTGAAACAGGCATTGGTGAATTCTTGAGCCATTTGAAAACTCCAGCACTACATCACCTCCCTATGTCCAGGCATTCCCTGTGCAGCCAGAGCCTCAGTGGCTTTCTTGAAAGCTGTGGTGCTGCAGTAGAGACTTCTGAGTGTCCCACAGATACTCAAGTACAGTCCCATAATTCATTTCAGAATTGTAGTATAATTATATTGGAAGCAATGATCAATGATTATGCTGCTCCATGAACAATTTCATCCCTGCATTTATCAATCTGTGGGGACTCAGCTCCAATTCAGGCTCTACAGGCATTGCTGCCCTGATCTCTTTTCATCAGCAAGGACCTTCATCTTTTACTCCCAAGATTAAATGTCTTCAGGAAAAGGAGAAATGGTAGATTAACTAAATGATATAACCACAGTGCTGAGTGCTTCCTCAGTGTACAGCCCTGAGCAGTGCATAACCAGGGCATCTGGTGAACCACCACAAGACTGGGTGCTCCACAAAGTGGTGTAAGGTCAGCATAAATGGAGATAGAGGGGTCAGAAAACCATCAAATCCCTAAATGAATAAAGTCTCTTTTTTTTTTTTATCTCTAACCTCCATCTCTTCCTTTTCCATAAAAATCACTTTATGTCAGCAGGTGAAGGAAAGAGGGATCAGAAAATGGAAGGGCAAATACTGTCTGTAAACAATATTCTCTTTTAGCTGCAGCTATGCTTCAAAAGATGTCTGGAGAGGAGACTTTCACACTGGCTGCTCCACTTCTTGAGGATGTTGTCCATTAGAGCTGTGGCCTCTGGTAATATTTATTTACCTTGACTATAAAAAGTCTGATAGCCAAATCAAAAGCTTTACAGTGAAGGAATTAATTTCTTTGCAGTTGCTTTGGGGACAAGAGGGAGAGGGGGACAGTTACCTATTCATGCTAGATGAGGACACTGAGTTTAAGCAAAGGTGGTAAGGAAGATGATTGGCAGAGCACAAAGAACCATAACCTCTTTTCATATCCAGCTTCTTTTCCTTCTCATGTATTCTCTCCTCCTCTCTTCCTTTTGCCTGAACTCTCAGTTCCTTTTGGAGCAGAGGATTTCAGGCTGACTTCATAAAAGGCAAGATGCACTTTTACAGCTTTTTACTGTTTTGTTGGGTTTTTTTTAATAGCCTACATATACATATTTATTGTCTCTATTCTGAAGCCTAGTTGCATGGTTCATCATTGAGAAAGAGCACAAGGATCATTGTTTATTATATAGCAAGCTGCAAGGTGTGATATTCTTTGTCCCAGGCTTGTCCCTAGCTTCTTAACTGAGCAAACTAATACATGCCCAGAGGTGTTTGTGCTGATATATTATTCATACAGCCATATTTCTTATGCCCTGTTGCAGTCTATTACCAGCTCACCAGCCCATAAATGCAATTCATGTGAAATCCCCTTGCTTCCCAACCTTTTCTTTCCCTGTGGGTTTTTACCTGTGCAATCAAGGTTTTCAGAGAGAGAAGGCGTCCCTGGAAGGCAGCATCATGGAGAGGGGATCGATCTGCCCAGCTGCCTGAAACAGCAAATGCATGGAAGCTAATTCAGGGGTGCAGCAAGAGCAGATCTTGGGAGGACAGGAGAAGCACAGCCACGTGTAAATGCAGATCAGGACTGAAATCAATGTGGCTTAGCAGTGAAACTGATTAATTAATTTCAGCAGAGCAGCTGAGGAATAAGAAATCCTGGCTCACTTAGGGACCTAAACAAAAGCTTCTTGGCAGAACTTTTAAAAGAACAGTTAAAAACATGTTTCAGCAAAGATCACTAGTTTAGTGCTGCTGAATCTCACATGGAGACTTCAGAACCCTGCAATTCTCCTACTCAAAACCATATCAACCTCCACCTTTCCTCAGGAGCTTTTGTCACAAATTGCATCCCAGCTTCTCTGACACTTTGTTAAGAGCCTCATAGCAGGGTTGACTTGCCCATCAAATGGATTCTGGCATGTCCTTGGCAGTTTTATTTCCTGCACTGACAATTTCATAAATAACATCCTCCCTCCCAGACTACCATGTAACAGATTTAATCATTCTCTTCACTGAAATATTTTAGAAAATACAAGGAAAAACAAATTCTGCCTGAAGGCTTTACTTTTCTTCTTTAATAATTTTGATATGCTGAACTGTTAAGACTCCTTCACATAGGCTCACTTGCCCTTTTTCTTATCCTAATCTATTTATACGCCAAGAAAAAAAATTCTTTAGCCTAGCTACTACCTACAGGCATAGACATTCAGCTCAGGTTAAATCCCTGCCATTCAAATAGAGAGCAAATTTACTCGTCCTACATTAAAATTTATAACCATCCTGTGACAGTGTGTAGTAAGTATTTCTCCAAAGGCCAGCTGTATTTCCAGTGCCACAGGACAGAAGCAATACCAGTGTTTGCATTCATGCTCTGCTGTACAGCAAACCCATGGGCACTGTATTTGAAACCCTTGTCCTGTTTAATTTTTTCAGCTATGCTGCACACCAGAGAGAATGGAAAGGGTGATTTATCTCCATTTCACATGCTACCCAAGGCAGGGAGAAGTCAATGAGAGGCATGGACACATCCATGGGGCCTTGGGGCCAAGGACACAGTAAAGGTTTTACCCTTGGCCAAAAGAATCTCCTTTTGTTACCCAAGGACCAGCACTTCAGCTGTTGGTGTTACAGTTTTAAACATAGTGTTTACTTTTGTTTCCATTGATTTACAAAGCGTTTCCTGGGCTCCTAAGGCAGGAAACTGGCATGGAAAGACCAGCTGGCACAATATATGGCAAGGCTTTGAATGACACATCAGTCAAAATGATGGAAATGGGAACCGTGTAGGGACCAAGAAACATCTTCCTGAAAACCTCCCAAATACCCCACACCTCTCATCATGCTGGTGACTGAAACAGGCAAGCTTGGCTCAGAAAGTCAGAAGATGCTGCAAGTGACAAAGCCCAGAGCCCTTACACAGCAGGAAGATTCAGGAGTTAGATGACAGAGCTACAGGGCATTATTCAACCTTTTATGCAGAGTACAACTCGTGCGAGTGCGTGTTCTCACATGCATTTCCAGGGCATTTCCACTGCATGTGGATGCACACACAGCCTCAGGACAGCACACACTGCTGCACCCTCCCACGCCAGCCACCACAACCTACCTCCCTGAAACGTGTGGCAAATATAGTTCCCATAGGGAGCACATCTGCCCTGCTCAGCCGGGAGTGACATGCCTGAAAGTGCTCTTTTTAAATGCCTACAGATAAATTATGCAGCCCTGCTGCTGCTGCTGTGCTACTTCACCGCAAAGAGAAAAGGTTGTGAAGCTCTGGCTGTAATATGATATACTGCCCCAGCAACCACATCACATGATCTTACATTTTGTAAGATTATCCTTAATGGCTTTCTGCAAATGGCAACTTGCAGATAAAAATATGTTATGGCCTGCTGAATTTCAAGGCACCTCAATAAGAACCTGCTTGAAGGAAAAACTGCTGTTCACCACATGTCAGACTATGATTGCATAAAGGTGCTTGGAAAAAAACAACAGCAACAAATGACTGGAATTACATTCTAGAGAATAAAAAATAAATTAATAACCAAGACATGCCTGTATATATACAGGCTTTCATAAAGGCTTTGTCAAAAATGCTTGGCTGCAGTATTTCTCTTGGCCAGATCTGAATCTCCCTGCTTTGGGTGGCCATCCCACACCATCTGTGTTGTGATGCCATTCCTGTGCCTGTTCATGATGGCACAATCATGAAGCAAGTGCCCAACAAATTAATCTCATTGAAATGTGTGATGTCACAACGCTGATCAGAATCTTCAGCTAGGAAAATAAGCCCTCATTAGCAGTAAATTTAAAATGCTGTGTCATTTTAATTAGTGGAATTAACAGGAATACAAACCCATGCATATTCATTATTATGGCAGTGATGTGAAGGATTAAAATCAAAAGGATAAAAACAAAACCTTGACCTGCTAAGTAACCTATGAAATACAACATATTATTGTGCTGTGTATTTTTCAGAACAATTTTAACTGCTTTCATTTTTATAATCTGATTTAACAAAACAAGGATTCTTGGCTTGGATTCATAAAGTCATCAGTTATATCCTCCTAGCATCTCCTTTCAGAAAATCAATGTGCTAAAACTTTTCCCTAAATATTCTCTGGCAGTAAAACTGGATGTTTAGCAAAACCATCTGTAACCACTGATAAAGAACACCTTGTATCTGAGAACAGTATTTTTATTTACCATGATGCATTGACCAACTGTTGTCCTCATTCTAGCTGGGTAATTGTTGGAGTCTCGTATTTTGCACACCTAAACCATGCCAACACATACTGACACTGCAGAGACCCCAGAAATGGGAGGCACTTCAGGTTAAAGCATTTACCCCTGCATTTAGCAAAAAATCCCTCATTTCATGGTGACTCGCTGTTTTAAATCCTCAAGTTACAAAAATGTGGCAAATCAACACTTAAATGTTAGAGTCCATATTTTTACTTTACCTGGGACTATTCCATAGATCTCTTCTGCTATCCTGGCAGCTTCTTTTCTGTTGCCTTTAACAATATAGAAATGGGTCAGCAAAGCCAAGGAAATCTTAATTAAAAGCTTGAAGCAAAACAAAGCAAAAATGGCAAAATAAATGTTAGTGAAAGAATGGAGTATAGAGGTGCCCTCCATTTTGGTTTGCTCTTTGAATAGTTTCTCAGGTTGGCTAAGTTGCACTGGGCTATTCTTGGTATCATATGTCATTTATTTTAAACCCTTCAGGACCTGCTGTTCCTCAGTTACCAAAAATACATCCTGGTTTTATTTGGTATGAGGTGTTTGATGCTAAATAACAATATCAAGGATAAGATATTTTTAACATCTCTGTATACAGGAAACAAATGAGAAAATCCTTTCCAAACCTACATAAATGAGAATAAATTTTCAGACAGATGCTGTCCATACCACCTGAAAGCCTAGACATCCACATTAAATTTATTTTTAGAGGTAGCAGTTCCATTTACAAAGACTGCATAGATAAAGTTGCAGAAATTGTTCAGAGATGCTGCAAAAAGAATACTTTTCTGTTTTTTCCATCTTGAGAACAGGCCTTGCTGGTACTTAGATACAGAACAAAGGCAAACATGTCAAAGAAAAGCATTATCATGAAAGAATTTTAAATAAATCCATGTGGCCAAAGCCAGGGCTAAGAAGTCAAAGTTATTCTAGGAGGAGAAGAATACACTGAAATTGCACAAAAAGAAACATATAACATATCTGATGCTCCTCAATTTGCATTTTCTCATATAGTTTTTTTCCATTACTCAGGGATAAAGAATGGTGTCCATTGATATCTCTTGCAAACAGCATTGTCTGTTTCGGAAATATTTTTACATTATCCTCCAATGTGTAATATTTGAAACTGAACAAGATGCACCCTTTATTTAACTGCCCTTTTTTTCTTTTTGAAGGCACATGGCTTTCCATAGAGAACAAAGGGCTTTTTCTGCATGTATTTATTTGAATCTGTGTAGAACACCCCATCTCATTTTATTTTAAACTTTTATTTATTCCTGTTTTCCTATATATACCATAGGAGGAGGATTTAATTCTTACTTGATTCCCCTCTTTGCCCAGGTTTTCCTAGCCTTTCATTCCAACATCTGTTGAGGAAAAAAGCAGGATAATTCCTCTCTTAGAGATCCCAAAGAGATGGTGGATATGCATATGGAAATTATACAGCAAATTATTTCTCTGGGCGTTGTAGATGTAATTTCTTTTGGTTTATAGGAATACAGCTGGTTTAGTACCTTGCTGTTTTTGGTGCTCAGCCCTGCCAGGTGCACTAAAATGCTATATAAAATATGTGCAGAGACAAAACACCACAAGCAATTTTCTCAAGTGAAACAATTTTTCTAAAATTCTGAACTAAACAAAGTTATTATATTCTTACATAACTTAACTCCTTACAAAAATATTACATCTACCTTTCCTTACACAGTTATATTAAATATCTGCAGAAACTATAATACTTACTAATCCAAAAGAGGAAAACTTCATCTTTTTCATAACTTTAATACAGTTTGCCACAGAAAGGTGAAGATATGGATTACAGGACAAGTTCAGTTAAGGAATCACAGAAAAACATATTGGTTTATTGGCAGTTAATTCTGCTCAGCTGAGAAACAGAGAAGAAATTAGCAAAAAAAGTTGACTAAAAACCAGAATGGTCAGCCAGAAAAATCTGATAAAAAGAAAATATTCCTCCTGGAGCCAGATGAATAGTAGAATCTGTAAAGAACAAAATGTTGGATGCAGAGAAAAAGAACACATAAAAAATATTAAGACCATTACAAAGTAAAGTCCACCTAAATAATGGAGAAATTTTTCTCGTGTAGGATTTACATAAATGGGCTCTCAACTGGAGACAAGCAAGAAGGAAGAGCACCTTTTGAGAAAAAAAAAAACAAACCAAAAAAACCCAGAAAACTGGGCTTTTGGTTGCAAAGGAAATTCACTGATTTTTTTTCCCAATCTGCCTAATAGATGGTATGTAGAATTGTACACGTTCATAAAACTCAGAAAAATAGAAGAAACTGAAAATCATGTGATTTCCACTGAAATTATCTTATCCCTAATGGAATAATATCAAAGAGTTTTCCAATTGCTCTAGAAAATCATGAGAAAGTTTGACTGCTTGGGAGCAGTCACTGGAACATGACTCTCCCAGAAGGACTGACTCTATTTGTGTAGCAGCAAAACCACCCTCCTGGCTTCAGAACAAGACAAATAAAGATTTTCAGTTAAATTATTCAGTGAGTCATTTGAGAAGAACTTGTGTAATCTCATAATCTGCTCTGACTTTACAAGAGCACTAGGAAAATTAATGCAGTGGACGTAAGAGAAAATTATCATTGGGAAGACAGCTGAACAGCATGGTGGAAAGTATGAATACTGCTGAGGGTGCTAGGCAGGTAAACAACAGCAAAGTCGGGTGTGATTGCTCAGAAATCTCTGGTATTTTTGAAACTAGAGGGATGAGCAACAAGGTGTAGGCGTGAGAACAGGCAGGACACAAGAGCAGTGACAGTGCAGACACAGGACTGTCACCGTTCCTCCCTTGCTCTTTTGAGCATCATTGCTGTGAGCTGAATGAGGTGCATTATGTAACTCCATTGATAGACTTGAGTGAACAAGTCAGCCCTCTGTAGAAAAAAACAGACCTCACTGACAACTTGTGCAAGATGCCCAAACTCTGTGAATCACTCTTCCTTAACTCTAGGATAATTATTAAATCGTCAAATCAAAATATCAAAAAAATATATTAATCGTTAAAAAAATTGTCATGAGAAGGTACACAGAAGTAGTTTAGCTGGATCCTCCAAAAAAATCAAAAAGTTATGTTTATATATGCTAGTTTACACACATGCAAGAAATAAGCAGTAAAAAAGGGCAAACCAGTTTAGAAAAACATCTCATTTTCAGTAACATTCACCTTAACTTTATCTAACTTCTAGGCAGAACTCTCAGATGTGACCTGAAGAATTTGGCAAGGAAATAAAAGGAATCCTCATCTCAAAGAACTTCAAAGAGGTATTGGTCTATTCTTTTGCTACACACACTCTGTGAATTACAGCAGTGTATTTCTAATGTATGTAGTTGGGATTAGAGGAGTCAGAAACACTCCGAAGAGATGAGAACAAAGACATCCATACAGAGCCTGGCTACTTCTTTTCTATCAGTTTGATCTAATAAATGACACTACTTCCCACACAAGCCTTGCCTGATTTGCATCCTTAGGTCAGCTCACTTACAACACTCTTTAAAAGGAGATGTGCAGAGTGACTCACTGGCTGCTCTCAAGCCAATGTGGGATTCCTCTCACCTATCTGCCACCCATCACACTGGGCAGGGTCTGGTTATTGAAACTCCTGCTGCTGCCTGGGCAGGAAGGCAGCAAATTCCAGCAGCAGCCAGTGCCTGTGCTCCCAGGGAATGCACCAGCCCCTCCTGCTTAAAGAAGCAGCTTGAAGAACCAGCAGGTACACAACCAGCCATGCACAGTAAAGCTCAATGAATCCTGCACAAGTAGCATCTCTAGAGTTATGATGGTGTTCAGTCATGTCAGGATCTGAAAACGACCTAGTTTACCGGCTAGGTTTACAAAAATATATAATTCTGGTAATATAATAAATTCAGACACATAACCACATCTTGTCTTTAGTTTTATTCCCTTAAAAAATATCCACCTTTTATCTCTGTCAATGTTCAAGGCATTACAGAAAACTCTGGAAGTCAACATACTCCTGAATGTCATGATGCACAGCAAATACCATGAGAGTAGTTTAATGATAGCAATTAAACACAAAAAATATTGAAACTTTTAATTTTAAAAATCAAAATATTAAACCATTTTGAGATTGATTCTTTTATCTGTTTACATAAAGTCTGTATTTTACTGAAGCAGAACACACCAGAAAGACTTTTACAATTAATTTTTTAAAGTCTAAGCATATATGAAAAAAGGGACTAGTAAAGAGAAATAAGTATCAAAAAGGGAAAAAATATAAACAGATGCAGAAAAACTTGATCACAAAACAAGTAAATTACAGTAGTTACCTTCTTGTAGATACATCCACACACACTAAAACACAGCCTGAAAGACTAATCTTATATCCATACTTTATTTGATGCTTCTATGGTGTATCATATGATTTTATCTACAATTTTCAATACCTTAATTCACAGTGTCTGCACATAATGCATTGGAAACAACATTTCTCCTTGTGACTGAGGATGGAATTTCATTGATGTTTGGGAGGGGGACATTCTATACAGATCATCCTGCTCCTCCTACACACCAGAGGCTCTGCTCTGTGCAAGACATTGCTTAATTAGTGTCACTCCCTCTTTCCTAACATTTCCCTGGTATGTCACAACAATCAAATGTTACCTGCAAGCACAACTGAAACATTTCAATTTTTTAACAAGTTATTTTATTAGTTTCTAACCACACTCATTAACTCAGTAATTTTTTTTTGTAGTATTCTGCTTATTTTATTTAACCTTTTTCATGTCACCCACTGATATTTTGTAAAATTGTAACTGTTTCTGGGGCATCACCCTTTACTCCACTGCACAAGGCCAGTGAGCAAATAATTCTCACAGAGTTCTGCATAATACAAGTGGTGTTATCTGAGAAACCAGTTATGGGTTAAGTTTCTGTGGCAGCTTGTACAGATAGATGATTATTAAAAAACATTCCCATAAGAATTCCAATAATTAGTAGTGAAAAGCAGCATTATGGTTTGTAGTTTTGTATTTTCTAATTATATGCTCCCACATATTAATGAAATGTATCCATTCTATATGGAAAGGTAAATAAACCTCTAGATAAACTTAACATTTATCTTGTAAACAAGACTCTAAGAAGGTTTTATTATGTTACTCGCAAGTACACAATGTTCCACAAAAGAAAACTTATTTTGAATAGATACATGCAATCCTTTTGATTTGTGTTTGCAGATGTTGCAGGAAACCAAACAAAACTTAAAGAGAACGAACAAAATATTACTAAAAATACAGACACACACACATGTATGTACACATATAACATTTCCCTGGAGTGGCAATCAGTATTTTCAAAAGGCTGTTAGAAATTTGAATGCTTGAACAATATAAAAAAAGAGTAACTTAGAAAAGTAGAATATTAGC